TTTACCTGTATGTCTCTCCCATTTAGTACTATGCAGTTTTGTTTACTGTAGCTTTGTAGTAAGTTTTTACTTACATTACTTAGTGGGAAGTGTGAGTCTTCAACTTTGTTCTTATTTTTCAACATTGTTTTGTTTATTCGTCCTTGAATTTCCAAATGAATTTTAGGATCAGCTTGTCAGTTTCTACAAAGATTTTTTTTTAAAGAGGAATACATAAATGTAAAAAATATAAATGTATACATACATATGTATTTATTTATTTATATATATATACATAAGATTCTCCCTGAAAAACTAAAAGAAAAAGGCCAAAGGAAGTCTAGGAGTAGCTTTAATAATGTCTTCATAATAGATGAAGAGCTTACGTGGAATGAAGATTAGCCTTCTTGTTTCCACGGCTCTCTTTGCAAAAGGAGATGGGCTTAACTTAAAATATTTTGGTTAAAAATAAGGAGGATATCAATGTCTCTACTAATTCAGCAGAAGGGTTATAAAAATTCCATCCTCTAATATATTAAGTCTGAAAGTAGATAAGTCATGTTATTAATGCCTTAGGGGAGATAGGATGAATTGGAAGAGCTCCTAACTTTCTTCTACTTTTAAAATTCTATTATCCAATGTTTAATATCAAAAAGTTATATTAAACTCAGTCTTTATTGTATTAATTCATGAATTAATTGCAGTAATTTCAGAACAGCTACTATATTGCTTCATATAAAGATTACGTATTTAGTAAATGGCTTGGAGAAATAAGCCATCTGTTAGATCTTGTTTTTAAAAAATTAGATTAAGTTACTCCTGTGATCACTGATCACTGTCAGAATTCTAGTTTTCAAATAAACTGAAGGGAATGTTGCAGGTTCTTTTTACGGTGTTGGAGTAGCCTAGATTAGACATGAGGAATTTTCCAAGCATTGGAAGAATTCCCCAATAGGAAAGGACTTGAAGTGGAATGAATAAATTAACCACTCGTATAGCTGTCCTCATGTGTTTGTCATTGTGGAGGATATGACATCATTCTTGACTTTAAAAAGCTTACAGTTTAAATGGTAAGAAAAGTTACCCAACAATTTAAAAATTGAAAATAGTAATACAAGTAATATATACAACAGCACAATACCTGATGAAAGAAAATAGGTAGTTTATGTATCAAGTGTACTTACATTCCATATCTTTTAAGAATTCGATGTAATAAATGGTTGTTCTGTGTGTGTTGTGTTTTTGTTTTACCTGAGCATCTGTGTGCCAGGCAGTAATCCTACTTATGCTCTCTTCTCATTCTGCCAAGATCCTATGAATTCGATTTTATAATTTTTTAAATTGAAGTATAGTCAGTTTACAATGTTGTATCAATTTCTGGCATATAGCATAATGTTTCAGTTGTACATATACATGCATATATTTGTTTTCATATTCTTTTTCATGATAGATTACTACAAGATATTGAATGTACTTTCCTGAGCTATACAATATAAACTTGTTGTTTATCTTTTTGATATATAGTAGTTAGTATCTGCAAATCTTGAACTTCCAGTTTATCCCTTTCCATCCCCTTCCCCACCTGGTAACATAAGTTTATTTTCTATGTCTGTGAGTCTGTTTCTGTTTTGTAAATATGTTCATTGGTGTCTTTTTTCAGATTTCACATATAAGTGTTATCATGTGGTATTTTTCTTTTTCTTTCTGGCTTACTTCACTTAGAATGACAATCTCCATGTCCATTCATATTGCAGTAAATGGCATTATTTTATTCTTTTTATGGCTGAGTAGTATTCCATTGTGTGTATGTGTGTATGTATGTATGTATGTATATGTATATATATATATACACCACAACTTCTTTATCCAGTCATCTGTTGATGGACATTTAGGTTGCTTCTTCCATGTCTTGGCTATTGTGAATAGTGCTGTTTGAACATGGGGTGCATATCTTTTTGAGTTAGAGTTCTTTCTAGGTATATACCTAGGAGTGGGATTGCTGGATCATATGGTAAGTCTATTTTTAGTTTTTTAAGGAATTTCCATACTGTTTTCCATAAAGGCTTCACCAAACTACATTCCCACCAGCAGTGTAGGAGGGTTCCCTTTTCTCCACATCCTCTCCAGCATATATCATTTGTGGACTTTTGAATGATGGCCATTCTGACTAGTGTGAGATGGTGCCTCTTTGTAGTTTTGATTTGCGTTTCTCTGATAAATAGCAATACTGAGCATTTTTTCATGTGCCTATTGGCCATTTGTATGTCTTCATTGGAGAATTGCTTGTTTAGGTTTTCTGCCCATTTTTGGATTGGGTTGAATTGGGGTTTTCTGTTATTAAGTCGTATGAGCTGTTTATATATTCTGGAAATTAAGCCCTTGTCAGTCACATCATTTGCAAATACTTTTTCCCATTCTGTAGGGTGTCCTTTTGTTTTGTTTATAGTTTCCTTTGCTATGCAAAAGCCTATCAATTTATTTAGGTCCCATTTGTTTAATTTTTGCTTTTATTTCTATTGCCTGGGTAGACTGCCCTAGGAGAACATTGTTAAGGTTATGTCAGAGAATGTTTTGCATGTTTTCTTCTAGGAGGCTTATAGTGTTTTGTCTTATGTTTAAGTCTTTAAGCCATTTTGAATTAATTTTTGTGCACGGTGTGAGGGAGTGTTCTGACTTCATTGATTTACATGCATCTGGCCAGCTTTCCCAACACCACTTGCTGAAGAGACTTGTCTTTTCTCCATTGTATATTCTTACCTCCTTTGTCAGATATTAATTAACTCTAGGTTTGTGGGTTTATTTCTGGGCTCTCTATTCTGTGCCATTGGTCCATTTGTCTATTTTTGTGCCAGTACCATCCTGTTTTTATTACTGTAGCTCTGTAGTATTGTCTGAAGTCTGGGAGGGTTATTCCTCCAGCTTCGTCCATTTTCTTCAGTATTGCTTTGGCAATTCTGGGTCTTTTGTGATTCCATATAAATTTTAGGGTTATTTGTTCTAGTTCTGTGAAAAATATCCTGGGTAATTTGATAGGGATCTCATTAAATCTGTAGATTAATTGCTTTGAGTAGTATGGCCATTTTAACAATATTAATTCTTCCAATCCAGGAGCATGGGATATCTTTCAATTTATTTAAATCATTTTTAATTTACTTAATGTTTTGTAGTTCTCCATGTGTAAGTCTTTCACCTCGTTTGTCAGGTTTATTCCCAAGTATTTTATTTTATTTTTTGATGTGATTTTAAAAGAGATTTTTTTTTACTTTCCTTTTCTGATACTTCATTGATAGTATAAAGACGTGCAACTGATTTCTGTATGTTAATCTTGTATCCTGCTACCTTGCCTAATTCTTTGATCAGCTTTAGTTGTTTTTCTGTGGAGCCTTTAGGGTTTTCTATATATAGTATCAATGTCATCCACATATAGTGATAATTTTACCTCTTCTCTTCCAATTTGAATCCCTTTTATTTCTTTTTCTTGGCTGATTGCTATGGCTAGGACTTTTAATACTATGTTGAATAGAAGTCATGAGAGTGGACATCCTTGTCTTATTTCAGATTTTAGTGGGAAGGCTTTAACTTTTCACTGCTGAGTATTATGTTGGCTATGGGTTTGTCATAAATAGCTTTTATTGTGTTGAGATATGTTTCCTCTTTGCCCACTTTGGCAAGAGTTTTTATCATAAATGGGTGTTGAGTTTTATCAAATGCTTTTTCTGCATCTATTGAGATGATCATGTGATTTATGTCCTTTTGTTGATGTGTTGTATCACATTGATTGATTTGCGTATGTTGAATCTTCCTTGTGTCCCTGGGATGAATCCAACTTGATCATAATGTACAATCTTTTTTATGTGCTGTTGGATTCTGTGATAATATTTTGTTGAGAATTTTTGCATCTATGTTCATTAACAATATTGGCCTGTAATTTTCTTTTTTGCCAGTGTCTTTGTCTGGTTTTGGTATCAGGGTGATGGTGGCTTCATAGAATGAGTTTGGGAGTGTTTCCTCCTCTTCAGTCTTCTGGAAGAGTTTGAGTAGGATTGGTATAATTCTTCTTTGTATGTTTGGTGGAATTCTCCATTGAAGCTATCTGGTCCTGGACTTTTGTTTGCAGGGAGGGTTTTTTTTTTAATGTTTTTCATTGATTTGTAATCATTTTACAATGTTGTGTCAAATTCCAGTGTAGAGCACAATTTTTCAGTTATACATGAACATATAAATATTCATTGTCACATTTTTTTTCTCTGTGAGCTACCGTAAGATCTTGTATATATTTCCCTGTGCTATACAGTATACTCTTGTTTATCTCTTCTACAATTTTGAAATCTCAGTCTATCCCTTCCCACCCCCTGCCCCTTGGCAACCACAAGTTTGTATTCTATGTCTATGAGTCTGTCTCTGTTTTGTACTTATGCTTTATTTGTTTTTTTGTTTTGTTTTGTTTTAGATTCCACATATGAGCGATCTCATATGGTATTTTTCTTCCTCTTTCTGGCTTACTTCACTTAGAATGACATTCTCCAGGAGCATCCATGTTGCTGCAAATGGTGTTATATTGTTGGTTTTTATGGCTGAATAGTATTCCGTTGTATAAATATACTACATCTTCTTTATCCAGTCATCTGTTGATGGACATTTAAGCTGTTTCCATGTCTTGGCTATTGTGAATAGTGCTGCTATGAACATTGGGGTGCGGGTGTCATTGAAGTAGGGTTCCTTCTGGGTATATGCCCAGGAGCGG